CATTCGTTTTATTGGCTAAGTGAATAAAATGTTTGTTGTTTATGAAAGCAAATCCTTTACGACATATTGTGTACGGTAAATGAGCTTGTTTTCTAGCTTTGCAGTTTTATTTTCTTAATACAGTGTCATGCCACGTCTGAATCTGTTTTACACCACTGAAGACTGTTTTAGATATTCCATTCAAAATCTAATTATCAAAAAGATCTTTTTAGTTTGTATGCGTAGTGTGTACTTTTAATATGTATGTATTGTTATATATACTTTTGTATTTAATGCTGTTTTCTGTGTATTTTTTGTGCATTTTATGTTAATTTGTGCAGGTAACAACATAGAGAGTAGTGACTATTGCTGTTAGATATTCGTTTTCAGGGTCGCCCAGGGTAGCACGATCAGTGTTGCCTATACACGTTCTGACACCAGTGTCTAAGTTTCGGTGGGAAACATCCCGAGTTTGGATCGAAGCTGAATGTCACCTTTATTCTATGTTATTCTGAGCTTTCATCAGAGTCATCTGTTGTCAAACGAGCAAGATGCAGTTGCTTGATCATCTGCCATAGTGGCTCTTGCAAAACATGCCCACAACCGTCGTAATTACGACCTGTCAACCGTCATTAGTAAAGGTTCAGTTCCAAGGTTTCCTCAATAAACTAAAAACGCTGTCGAAACTTTCAGCGCTATGATTTAATACTCACTAAGACAATTTCTTCGCTTATACCCACTGACGTACTTTTGTATATCGTTATCAATGATCTTGAACCTAGGTGACAATGGTTTCTTTGGTAAAATGCGTTTCAGTTGGGTGGCGTTTATTTTCTCTTTTTAGGTGTTTTTGTTTCACAAGAATTTAATATTTGTTTTTGTTGCAGGAGTCGTGAGTGTATGGATGTAGAACGCAGCTTTGTAATGGCGTCAACTTCTAGCAACGGTACTCCGAGGGGTGCAGCAGACCCGGTGTGTCGTCCCCGGATGGGCGTGCGAGACATCGGGCGTCAAACGCCGTTGACCGCTTCCGTTACCCCCGTCAGGAGACTTCCGCCATCGTCCGTTGTTTACAGCAGCGAGAGGTCGTTGCCGGAGAAGTTCACCAGCGCCATCAGGAACCTGGGCCGAAAGGCGGTCGCTTTCAACCGTATGAACTTGACGACGGCGGCCGTGACCGGCGGATCATCATCTGGAGGAACCACGGCGGTGGACGACGATGATCTAGTTTTCTTCTCATCATCCAATGCACACAGCATGGCTAGTCGTTCCGATCGTAAGTCGCCGGCCGAGCTAACGTCGGTTAAGGCGAATCATTTTGCAAGGAACCACCTCAGTTACAGCAAAAGCGCTGAAAAGCTCAGCTTCAACGGTTCTCTGACCCCATATCGTGATCCGAAACAGAGCCAATTGACGGCTACAGATCGACAGAGCGGATTTTGTCGTTTTCAGAGCGATCTGCGACTGTCTCGCAACGATGCCGATCGTCATTACGAAAATCTGCCGGTCGTCGTTACTGCAAAGGCAGAACTGGCACAAAAAATTAAATCCAGGTAAAAACTGGGTGTTTCTTAGACATGCTTGAAGGAATGTACTTACAGTAAATATAATACAATACAGTAAATGTATTTTATTGTGTGAATATTCGCACCATGGCCACATTGGGTAATAGGAAAGTTAAATAGCTGTTTAAACCAACCGTGTATATGCAAGCGACGATGCGTGATTCATGATGCAGGCCAAAGCAGGAATGGCTGAATTACGTCTCAGTAGATTATTCGCTACTGCTTATACTGACGGAATGTAGGGATATGAAAGACTACAGAGCTGGATGAAGCGGTTGATTGCTGTTGGACAGGAGACAGGTAACCAAGCGCAAGCAAGTTAATTGACAAAAACTTGAAAATCGAAGTGGCCATTACATATTATAAACTTGAGTATCTGTCACAGAACACGACATATGTGGAACTATTGTCGTCAGTTCTGGAACTGCAGACCATCAGTTCAATCAATCATTTTACTTCTGTCATCTGCCTCCATCGCTAACAAATTAATTGGACCATCGGATAATCCCAGCGTATTCCTGAACGACCGATCAAGTCGGCGTTGGTGATCCAACGGAATCCAGTTGGTAATTCCTTACGTTCTCCGGTTTTCTCTCAGGCGAACAAGAGGTGACTTGATGACACGGTGCGTAAGAGTTCGGCTTATAAGCCGGAGTTGCCGGGTTCGATGATGCGGACGCAATGTCTATCTTGACCATGAATTCCTTTGAGCCAATAATTTGCCACACGTTGCTTCAGATCGGGGTTGCTTAGTGAACAGATCGTCGAACTTGCAAGCGATAGGTCCTGAGTTTTAGCCTTTGCCGCTTTCGGTCGCTCTTCCTCCTTCTTGAAGTTTAGAAATGAGTATCACTCACTGAGACTGTGACCAGAGACTACACACTATGCTAGTCACATAGCTGCTGTCGACTCTGCTTTTAAGATTCGTAGCTAATGACATGGCAATTAAGATTAGCGCCCTCACCATTAACTTCATGAAAAGATGGTCGCCAGAATGGTCGCTTCATGCAAGTTTAAAGAAAGCCGACATTCCAACGGTTGTAAACTTTATTTTTCTTTTTCACAGGCGGCCCACATGACCGGTATGTTTTCTTTTAGTATTGTATGTCAAAAATCACGTCTGTTAATGTAGCTCATTGTCAAATCAAATTTTTGCCCTCGGACCTTGATCCCGGAAGACAGCCTTTCAGGGACTCCATCGCTCTTTAATATTCATCGGCTTGAGCAGCAAATCGACATGCAGCGCCGTAGATTATAGCGAGTAAAACGGTCGAATCGAACTGTTTTTTTTTGTTTACCTGCATTGGCAGCTCACTGTTTAGTAATGATATTTTTATACGCTTAAGCTGACCCATGCCGCCTTTCTTCATCGGCTGATTTCCCCGTCAAAATTTATTTTTCATTCTTGAAATTTCTTTTTCCTTATTTTTGGTCAAACGTGGAAAATGTTAATTTCTCCATCGAGTGTTGTTCCATCAGTTCTTCGAAAATTTCAAGTTCAGAAATTCAAAATTTAATTTAATCGCTAAAGCAAATAGGCATGATCTTTCTCTTTGAACGATCCTTCCTACTGGTAACAAAATTAAAATTATTCGATAGCAAAATATGCAAAACCCAGTTATCAGGTGTTATCCACGTTGGAGCTTCCAGATGCATATTTTCTTCATGTCCTGCTTATTGGTTTTCGTACATTATTTATTCACGCCGTAACAGAAAATCTAGACAGTATATTATTTGAGACCATTATCAGTAATAATTCCAGAAGAAGCTATGTAAATTTTTATTTAACGTGTCGTTTGTCCTCTGAACGATTTTGATGTATATCACCGTAAATGAATGTTTTAGAAATGCCTGTTCGAAGAATGATCCATTTTACAACGTCAACCCTTGCTGTTCCAGTATGCACGATCTGCCCTTGAAGCAGCAGGAGGAAACGGAAAGAAATTTCGCCAATAGGTTCCTCAAAGAGAAAGATGGAAATTCAAGAATTACCAGTACTTCACCTACGGACAGCGGTTATAGGTCGGTTCCCAGAAGCACGTTGACCACGGAAGACTCGACCATGGCTGCGTCGCCAAACGGGATGAGTTCGCATGGTTACGCTAATTTCAACGGGGCGGTGATGACGACACTAGATGAGCTGAGAAAGGGTCAGCAGAGCAGCAGGCCGACCACCGGTTTTGGCGAGTATTGTGAGGGCACCGTTGCGTCTAATGACATTGATCAGACGAACAGGGCATCGTTAATCAGAGGCGGAGGCTCAGAGGTTCGTAGTATGTACCAGAATGGGAAATTCGTGCACGAATGTTCCCCCGGAAGCTCGATTGGGATGATCGACGGAAAACCGTCAGAGGGTTACATATTTCAAGGCGAAGACGCGGCGTTCCTAGAGAATGGTGGCAGCATTGATACATTGAGCACAAACGTATCACTGCCAGAAGAGTATGCGTTGGTGCGATGTCCGAAGCTGGTCGAGCTGACGGGTACGCCATGGACCGAAAAGACCATCGTCGCACTGACAACCACTGGCCGTCTGAAATTGTTTGCCGCCAATCGAGTGACCGCCAGCGCCGTGCCAAAAATTCATCGTCACCTTCAGACGCTGTTCACAAGGATCGCCAGGGAACTGCAACGGTTTTGTCGCCGTTTCAGTAAGTGCTCGAAGCACGACGTTCATTACGCCACGAAGGTAATTAATTATCAACATTCATATTTTAATGGTGTAAATTATTATTAGTACTTTTTATTGTATATATTCTGTTTTAAGGTTATATTGCCGACCGGAGTGGCCGAAAACTGTCTGAAGGCAGCGGTTCAGGCGGTGACCATGTATACTATGAGCGGTACAGATTCTGTTAAACAGAGTCGCAGCATGAACGCCGGATTGACATTTTCCGTGGGAAAGTTTTTCAGATGGCTATGTGATGCGCAGGTAAGCAACTGAACGAATTTAAATATGAACAGAAACTAAGACGAATTGCAGTCGTAAGGCGCACGCATAAAACAGCGGGGCATACGCGTTTTGGTTTGATCATATCAGATCACTGTGATGTTCTTATTATTCGCAGGTCAACGACCTGTTACCGTGTTTTTGCTTGTTGCAATGAGGCACAGTAGGCGAGTTCTTTGTTCAAAGGAATTAGCAGTTATTAAGGGAAAAAT